TTTAAAATTCGAAATCAGATCTTTCAGTAGAAAATACCACACCTTCTTCATCCTTTCATTTCGTTCATCAATTGCCTGTTTTAAATCAGCAATTTTCTTGGCATAATCCTTCCTTCTTTCAGGATACATTTTTAATAACGATTCATAGTCTTCAACGGCTTGTTCATATTTCTCTTCCAATTGAGCATAACAGTGAGCACGTCTTTCTAAGGGCTTATCATTTGGTGCACCTAAAAAGACAAAATAAATCTTAACAGTGCAGCTAAGTTAAAAAGACTAGAAGATTAAATTTCAATTTTATTTCCTGTTTTATATAAGCAACAAAACAAATTGGAATTTTAAGAGCAATGATCGAAACTGACCAATTTCCAACGCTTCACTACAATCTTCAATAGCTTTTTCCCAGTCCCTGAGTTTCATATGTGCAGCAGCTCGATTGCTCAAATATGTTGCTCTGAAGGGGAAAAATTTTTTTTGTTCTCATTTCTTGTTTAAATTGTGTAGAGAAAGCGCATGACAGTTAAGGTAATAAAAGTAAAAAAAGTCAAATGATAATGAAAGAAAATTTTTGTTAATTATTATTATTTAACATTTGTCTTTGAAAAGGAGCTAAAAATTAAGAAACAAAACATAAAAACCTATCACTAGTGTATATGAGTGGACAAGTATCCAAAGATTTTGTATAAAAATGTGCTGCTTCATACCAAAATCCTTGGCCAAAATAATCATTCCCCTGAAAATCTAAGAAATATGAACATCCTTAACTACATATTCTCCACTAAGATAAATAAATAATCTCGACTAGCTGAGTTCAGATTCGAGTCAGGCGATTTGAAAGAATGAAAAAATATAATCACACTCATAACATATATTAGCATAGTTCCAGAACGGAAAGAATCCATGAATGTCAAAAAAGGATTCGTTTTTCTCAGAACGGAAAGAATCCATGAATGTCACAAAAAGGATTCGTCATAATTACATTATAAATTTAAGATTTCCTGTGATGTTCCTGTGAAACCGGAATTTAAATTAATATACGACAGTTGAAGAAATTTACCTGAGTTTTTAAAGCTTTAGACTTTTCTCGAAGCTCGTTTAATTCGTCCTCGGTCAATGCTGCTTCTCGTTCTTTACGCTTCTCCAATTCTTCTTTTTTCGTTTCACCTATTTTTTTGTCGTTTTGCTGCGTATTACTTCCGTCTGCAAATTGCATATAATTCATAGAAATATTAGATCAAAGTTGTTCCATCGTAGTTCTGCACATGTAGACAATCACTGATCGATTCTATCATTCCCACAGAAATTTCAGCCTAATTTCTATTGTAAACACCAAAAAAAGCAGAACCTGTTAATTCGCATAATGAAGTTAAGTCAAAAGAAGAAGTGAAGAAAAACTTCGCACCTATAAAGTTTGAAGGAATTCGAAAAAATAAAATAAACCACCTTTATTACTTCTGTCTTGAATACCATCATTAAGCGCTTTGTGCACAATATCATCGCCACCAATATCTTCCACCTTTGCATTAATGCCAGTCACATCATTTTTCGCAGATGAATCAAGTGATTTGGTGAATTCACCACCATCATCAGCTTTACTCGTGCCAGCCATCATTGACAACGCTTGTAAAACCTATGATAAGATCAGCAATGTTTTATATGAATTAGTTCAGAGTATCATCTGATAACGTTACATCCTTATGTTGCGAATGACTCTTCATGAAACTTCGGGCTACAAAACTGAATTACTGTTACTGGTTCGCCAAAAAGTCCATCCACTAAACTAGTCAATATTCTGCTGTTTATATTCTATCTTGAACGTTAATCTTCATATTACCACTGAAAAACGACCCCATATTAATACAAAAACCTATCCAGAGTAACTAACTCTGGAAAATAAACTTGAGAAATATAGACATTTAAAGATGAGACATATTAATTGGTTATAGTTAACCAAACAAATAAGTGACTCAGATCATAAATCTATTTTCACATTCACATATATTTACAGAATATACCATAAACATTACATTGAAAATATAATTTTCACAGTATAATAGATAAACTGGAACTGATTAAAGGATTTAAGTATTACCAGGTAATGATTTTGGTAAAGTTATTTCAAATTTCAGATATCGTCTCGATCATATTTCAACATTATCATAAAGTTATTTCTTTCTAACAATGATTTGATTTTTTGAAAGATATCATTATAATATATACTAGGACTAAACCAGTACGTTCAAGCTTGGCTATGACATATAATTTCAAATCTTATTCAAGATAAATTATTAAGGATTATGTTAAGTAAGGAAAATGTTGCGTAAGAAAGAATCCTTCAGACGTATAAAATGTAAAACCAGAAGTTTCCCGTCTCCGATGAACTCATCCGCTTCGTAAGATTGAGATTAACTTATTATTAAGGTAATAATAACATAACATTACAGTACTTATCAAGATCAGAACTACGTGTATTTAATACCGCAGTAGAACGAGAAAGTAGTAAATGTAAGCATCGTATAAATTTTTTTATATCTTTACGAATTAATCATTTCTAACATTGCCCATATTACAATAAATCTTCATAATAGCACATAATTTAAAAAAATGATAAAAGAGTCATCTTTAATTTATGTAACCCAATTATTATTACTTTTTGCTAATGTTAACTAAGCATGTTTTTTTTCAAAATTTTAAAAAAAAGAATCATAACCGACAAACTAATTTAATAATATTAAATGAAAAAACTTATAAGCAAAATTGGAAAGATTTATTGGTTATTGCCAAGTTCTTCGTTTATTTGATCTTTGTCAAATGGATCTGTCGACTTAGGAATACACAGATTTTGCTATATTCCAGTTGTAAAAATATAAAGAAAAAAAAATGCTCGATGTCAAATAAAAACTTAGAACTTGGTTCAATTATCCTGCGTTTCAAATGCAAATACTAGTAATAATGATTTAATGAGTTAATGAGTAAAACCGTCGTTTATATAAAGCATTAAACATAAAAATATTCATAATGAGGAAAAACAGTTTACTGGCTGTCAACAACCAAACACAAAAAAGAATTACGGTAAAGAGATACTTAAGAAAGAATAGTCACTTTCATGTTCTTTCATCCAAAATCCATTTTCAAAACTATTTTGAGTCGTATATTTTCGATCATTGTCATCTTGAAATCCTTGGCTCAATCCTTTTCGATAATTTTTCAATCATGAAAGGCCTCGAACACTTACCGAACGAATTGTTTGAAAGCATAAATCCATAAATGGGAATTAATGACACCTATATTTCGTTTTCGAATGCAGCAAGACGCCATTTGATATCACGTTTCGCTTCAACTCTAGGATCTAATTTTACTTCACATTTTTGCTGACCATCTAAAATCTCTTGACATTCCAGCATTGCGCTGCGTAACTTATCAATACAGTCAGCCATATTCAGCTGCTCCGAATAAGTTCGACATGATTCAATCACCAAAAAACCGTTCCTGAAAAGGATAAAAGTGACTTTATTCAAACCGGCTTCAACTGATTTCACATCATTTGTGATCAATTACATAATATTCTTATCCTAATAACAAGGAACAAATTCGATATTTTGAAACAAATAACACTATTGCAATTTTCAGCATTTATATAACAAATCGTGAATAATGGAAAAAGAAATGAGCAGATCTAGTCACTGTATTATGCACTTTTACGTCACCAGTTCAATAAATTTAATGTCTTTGAAATTGAAGCGATAAAAATCTACTTGAAACAATTTATGTATGCGAGGTCTCTTTTTGAACGCATCTTACATCGACGCTTTAACCACTTGATATCGCGTACTTTGTTTTTATCCTTGTCCTTCCCACATGTTATCTTTCAAGGAAATTTTATTCCAAATTTATTCATAATAGGCACTGTTTAATGTACCGCAAATCTTAAAGTATTGCTAAATGAACTTCAAAGTTTGAATTCAAAATTTAAAACTAACCGATCAATTCTGTGTAAATATCGTGCTCTCATATTATCCGCTATTGCTGTTGGGATCCAATCAGCTTTAAGGGGAATACGAAGTTCAACTTGAGGAGCTTGCTGATCCTCACGAAAGGTGACTGTCTTTTGCAAACATTCCAAAGGAATTCTGCCATCAAATCTTGTTGTGGAGAAGTGACGACGTAAAAGTGAGCACCGTAAAAATAATTGAAATCTCATAGCTGAATTCAAAATTATTATTGTATCAATCAACTAAATAAAAACATGATATAACAGAAGATCTTCGAAATATTAGAACGCTTCATGAGACTCTTCCAAGATATGCTTATTTATTTAAACCAAAGTGCAGACTGTAAAAAACAAACTTTCTCAGTCCGTTCAATACAACAAAGGTCAATTCAAATGAGGAGACCTAGGAAAATTACACTTGCCTATGCATGGCAATAATTTTAAAATATGGCTAAAAAATGAATCTTGAAGCGACACGATTTTAGCAAATTTCATATTTGCATTTTTATTGCGAATGATATTTTTCAAACGCATACCACAAAACAACATTATCAAGATGTCGAACATGGCGTGCAAAATTACTCTACGTTATTGAATATTTGTCATTTTAAGTACATATGATCATCATAAACAATCAAAATCTTAAATGATGAATACTCTAAAATCATAATTCTATGAAAGCACTGAAATTGCCAAAATCCTCAATCGTCCTTGTTGTTTCTTTTTGCTACGAATACAGTTATGCTTTTGGTTTTAAAATATTAGGTATAACTCTAGCAAAAGATCAGTAAAAAATGAAGGAGAAAGAAAAATTACCTACAAAACGATAAATGTGCACTGAGATATAAAACACAGAAGTGATATTTCTAATCAAAATCTGATAGATTTTTTTCAAGAGTTTTTTATTTTAATAAACATTGTGGAAGTAGTAAAAGTTCAAATCATATAAGCGTGAAAAAGAAATGCACAATTAATCATGGAAATATCAGCTAATAAACATAACAAATTATTAATTTCGGAATATGATGTCGTATATTTGGTCGTAATGCGAAACAAAATGTACATCCACATCTTTTCGGATAAAGTCTGGCAAGTCCGAGAAATCTTTCCGATTTTCTTCCGGTAATATAATACAATTCACTCCAGCTCTTTTAGCCTGAATGAATCAATAGATTAACTACAGGAAAACATTAAGTCTGCAACGTATAAAAGCAATCGACTCACAATGAGTGCAAAAAAAGATAAAAAAGAAGAGAAACATCCCTTTACCTTGAGCCATATCTACAGGCAATAAAAACCGCTCATAGACCTTTTTTTAATAACAAAATTTTTAAAATATCTACACTTGAATAAACAACACTTGATTTGCGCAGAAATCCAACATTTCAAGGTTAGAAACCTATTGTACATAACTAATAGTCAAACAATTTTTACGAAAATTTTCGTACTCTTTTAATAAAATAAAATGCTGGAAAATTTCAAATAACGTACAGCAATAACTTTTTCTTTAATTCCACCAACTGGTAATATTCTTCCAGTAAGAGAAATTTCACCGGTCATTGCAACATTTTGCCGAGCGGGCTGATTCAAAGCCAGCGACAATAAAGCCGATGTTATTGTACAACCTGCAGATGGACCATCTTTCGGTGTTGCACCCTACAAAAACAAATGAACGACTGTTAGCTAGAAAATATCCCAATCTCGAAACTTGTACATAAGATAATATTCCCGTAAAATTGAAACATCAAAAGAAAAAGAAGAAATTGAGACAAACCTCTGGGACATGAACATGTATATGCGCCTTATCGAGAAAATCGTTATTCGGAAAATGATTCCTAAGGATATTTTTAGCGACCGTATAGGCAATACGCATACTCTCTTTCATAACATCACCTAGATGTCCAGTTGTTTCTAAACTACCGAATGGAACGGTTGCATCGGATTTCGATGAGTTGTCTGCATCATTCAATGAATCATTTGAAAATCCACTATCAGTACTTGGATTTCGTGATAAAGAAGTTTTAGATGTAACTAAACTCCGACGTAAACATGCTTCAATGTATAACGATGAACCACCTGAAAATTTTTGGTATGCTTAAATGTAAAACTATACTATTAACATACTAACAGTATCAGTGGAAAAGAACCATTTAAATACAATTTTAGTAGCTCTTCTTATATTGCTTTTTCTTGGAAAACTGGCAAACTTACCCATAGCTGTCCATGCAAGACCCATTATTACGCCAACCGGTGTTGAATCGTATAGACGATCGCTGGTAAATTTAGGTCTTCCGACGAAGTCTTCGATATTCTGATTATCAACAATTACTTGAGCAATTTCTTGACTAATTCCACCGGCTATTTTGAAAGCTGCTTTACGAAATATCTGGAAAGTAAACCACACGATATGCATGGATTGCTTGACAATAAAAATTAATGAAGATTTAAAAACATCCTGTGATTCACACTGCAAGATACAAAAATTTCATGCAACAAATTCTAACCATTCGCTGACCAATACCTACATCTTAATCTAGCGGATGAATTATCTGTTAAAAATGTAAGTGTAAAATCAGGTGAAGATGAACAAATACTGATCTCATCACATTTAATAGCTGCTGTCGACACATAAACCCATAAAGAAAATCGATCTATAAAATCTCAATCTTTCGTCAAAAAACACGGAAATTTTTATAGCTACCTTTTCAATATGCTTCTGAAGATTTCGAACACCAGATTCTCGGCAGTAGTGTTTGATAAGTGTTTGTAATGCTTCCGGAGTTATCTGAAGTTGGTTTTCTTCCAATGAGCTGGAAAAGAAAGTTTTTTTTTGGACATGTGCTAGTTGCACAAAAATTAAAATAAATATCCCTATTTATTTTAATACTAGGAGATAATTTGATATCACTGACTTTTTATTGCTTGCTTTTTCAAATTCTCATTTTTTTTTAATCTCTGTGCTGAATTTAAATTTGGTAATGTTTTCAGTCTATCAAAACCATGTCGTCTAAATAAAACACAGGTGCCTTGTACATCAGAAATAATATTAACCTATCCTTTCGACACTGAGGTACCAAATAACTCTGTGCAATATTTAATTTCTCTTCTGCAACATAACCCGATACTTCGATCATTTCCATGCGATCTTTTAGTGGACCAGGAATAGTATCCGTAATGTTTGCAGTGCAAATAAATAATACCTGGAAATACAAGTTTATCTCAATCCAGAAATCAATCATCTAACAAGTTTCATTTATGAATCGATTCACTAAGTTACCTGAGTTACAGGTATGAGCTAAGCAATTCGGTAACCAATTCTTACGACATTTTCTAGCAAAATAGGCTATCGGACCAACCTTTGACAAATCGACAGGGACATCGAGAAAGTGATCATTAAAATTGGTGTTTTGTTCTGGATCTAACAGTTCTAATAACGCTGATGATGGATCGCCATGATAACTTGTGCCACCAATTTTATCCACTTCATCAATTAAAACTAATGGATTTTCAGTTTGTACCTTTAAAAAAATTAAGAATTTACCAAAAATTTCTAGTTGGAAAACGGAACATATTAAGGTCAAGGCAGAAGCTAGTCATAAAAAATCCAACTTTTTTCAGACATTGAATCATTTTTCCAGGCATCGCGCCAACATATGTACGGCGATGTCCTTTGATTTCTGCAACATCTGTCATTCCACCAACCGAAAATCGAAAGTACTGAAAATTTTCAAAAATTATGAAATTTAACTTGATACAAATATGTTTGGCGATAAATCTGATAAAAAATCCTACCTCCCTATTTAACGCTCTGGCAATTGATCGTGCAATACTCGTTTTACCGGTGCCTGGCGGTCCATGTAAGCATAAAATTTTACCACTTACTTTCTTTTTAAGTATACCAATTGCAATGAATTCCTAAATAGTACAAGATAAAGGATAAAAATCACTTTTATTTTCTAACAAAATGTTAGAGTTATTCACATATGAAAGAGTAAAATCAGAAAGGAGAAAAAAGGGACAGAGATAGAGGTTCTAAATTTATTCACTTTTAACAACATACCAAAATTCGATCTTTCACATCTTTCATTCCATAATGGTCTTCATCTAGGACAGCAATCGCTCTATCCAAATCAAGCACATCCTCCGATGTCTTACCCCATGGCATATTTGTTAACCAATCCAAATAATTTCTAGATGATAAAGAAGCTCAAAAAAAAAAAAAAAAAATCGAAATTCATTAGAAAGGAAACAGCGTCACGTAAATCCATACCTTGCAACTGAAAATTCACTGGAATGCGGATCTAGAAAAGATAGTTTGGTTTGTTCTTCCTTAATTACTTTCATTACATATTCAGGAACATTAAGGTTTTTTATGCGATCTTGCATTTTTTCCGTCAAGGCTTCTTTGTCATCCTTTTCTAATCCAAGTTCTTTTTTGATTGCTTTCAGCTAAAATTTTTCAAATGAAAGAATTTGGAAACTCTAATCATAAAAAAAATCAAAAACGTTCCTAAGTTACTTCAAATTCTAGGAATGGTGTGGGTTTGTCAGAATAATCAAAACCTGGGCAGATAATCCTTACTAAAGAGTTAGAAAAAAAAAACTGATTTACCACCTCAGGCTTACAAAACTTTTGCATCACTGTTTTTACTGAATATATAATATTTGAACAACTGTAAACAAAATCAAATCTCAAACCATATCCAATACATTAAAAGTCACCTGTTCATTCAAAAGGAATTTACGATGTTGATCATGAACTTTCTTTTCCACATCCTTATTAATATCATGTTTCAGTTTTGCGACTGTTTTTTCCTTTTCAATCAGTAGCAATGCTAACTTCAAACGATTTTCAATCTAAACCAAAAAAATTACAGATCTCAAATCTCTATATACAAATTCGTATATAAAGTCCAATATACCCCCAGGAAACTTACAACTTCTTCATCCATCAAATTTTGTAAATCGTTTGGATCAGCGCTTACAAGCGACCCAACTAAATCACATAGATATACAGGATTGTCAACCACATTCCTTGATGGATTTGCCGTTAAGCCAAGTTGCTGTGCAAACAACGTATTATATTGCATTACATCACGAATCGTACTAACTATAGCTTGCATTGTTGCCTGAAAAATTTTAAATACCGTTTTAATATAAATGAAAAAAGAAATCATTCAACTCTAACTCAAATTGACCAACTAAAATTGAAATACAGTTCTTCGCTACTTTTATCTGTCATCATAGGTAAATTTCAGTTTCAAAGTATAAAAAAGTTTGCCAATAAGGATATAAAATAAAGTGTATGCCTAAGATTTGAAAAACCAAATCATTTTTAGTCATAACGACATTTCACATAATCAGTTAAAAATAGAACAGCCTATATCAACTGTAAAGATAAAATTTACTTTAACTTCTGTTGTCCTTTCAATAGGTTGTGAAACAACATTTTCGGTCCGAGCTAAAGTAACTGCTGAAGATGCAGCTAACGAAATTTGATCTTTTCCCTTTTCCTTCAGTAGCTTACGACGCTCTTGACGTGCCCTTCTGCCGTTGATTTTTCCAATATTTTCACTGAACAGGGCAAAAAATTTCATTGAAAAATTTTGGGAAGCTGGAAGCAAGATATTTTTCATTATTATACTAAAATCAAGAAAAATTCCCTATAAAATGTAAATGGTAGATGAAATTTTACAGAATCAAGCTTACTATGAATCAACATCATCAGCAACCGGTTCTAAAATGCGTATGCGCCTTTCAGCAACCAGAACCAATTCTATTTTGTCACCATTATCACCCATAACATTGATTTGTGCGAATGATCCCACTGAATGAAGTTCAGACAAGGATTCTACTGTTTCCGATTCATTCCTGAAACTGGTTTAAAACAGTGACAAAGTCGGCTGACTAATCATAATAACGGAAATCATTTAACCACAAACACCGGCTTTATACCCCTCAAACTTTCATCTAAAAAACTTAAACCAATGTTTAAATTACAATGATGGATTTTCCTATATTTGTTTGTATTATAAACATCCCCTCTCAATTAACTGAATATGATATTCCAGCAAATTAGCTAGGTTTATGTCTCAGTTAATAAATCTCTGCATTAGCCCAGCCTCAATACACATACAGATAACCTACAAACTTATCATCCTTATAATCTTCCTTCGATTTAGATTGTAGGTTTTTAATTCCAAGCTTCACAACAGCAACCATTTCCAAATGTTCCAAATTTATAAGCCAGTTTCTCCTATTCAAATTATGCAACACCGTGACTTCGTCATTACTTGTTGTTAAACCTGCGTCATAAAGAAAAGTTAATCGAAAAGAAAAAACTGACAAACGACTTACTCAGGATCTTTTTTCATGAAAACTCCAACATACGGTTGACGCATTCGTACCTTCCTTCTTAACAATTCTTTTAGTATTTCGTCTTTAGCGACCTTAATGAAATTTTCAAGATCATAGTATATTCTCTTTCAATACTTCAGTACTACACTACCTTAGTTTAAATTAATTGACATTCAGAACATATCTTTTTTCCTTTTTTTAGGACTGTTAACTTTGCTTTATATATTTGCTTCTTTAGAAACTGGACGAGTGATGTTTTTTGCTGACTTCAGGAAATACACCAGAGATGTAAACTTTATTACTGAGTGACTAGTTACTGTCCTTCGTTTACAGAACATCTTAAGATATTTCGAAAACCTTAGAAGTATAAAAATGCTTTGCAAAAAGCTGAAATGTACTTACAGTAACCCGTGTGATAAAGCCAGGAAAAAGTGGTTTTCTTGAGATGGCAATAATTGGTACAATAGGCCAAACTTCCGGAACTGTTATCGTACTCATTGGCTGAAAACGCATAATTTATATCCTTAAAATCCTCTCAAAGAAAAAAAATTTTTTCAAAAATGAAGTTATACTTCGAAATCAATCTTAGGTTCCCTGAAAGCTAATTGCATCTGAATTAAAACCAAAACTACTTACTCCTCCTAACATATCTTCAACCTGTTCCACGATTGCTGTATCCTTATTTTTTGTATCACTCGAAATTTTATCATCATCATCTTTCCCATTTTCATTCGGACTAAAAAGAAAAAGGTACAAAAAAAAAAAAAAAAAAAAAAAAATTATTATAGTAATGGCAATTTTATAGTAGTCTTCTACTTTTTCTTTAAGTCAAATAAATAATAAATAACTTTGTTAAGTCAAAAGAAAATTTCTTTACTTGCTGTAAAACCGATGGGATGTAATAATTGGTCGTCGGTCTCCACAAGAAGCTAAAAGATGTCGCCCTGAACAGCTATAGCTTCTAGATACTGCAACGTGATAAGATTGAATCGAAAGCGGTCTTAACTGTTGATAAAAACGACTACTTCGTTCGAAATTTCTCAAGCATCGTGTCGTCGCTTGCAAAGATAGGCGCATATATATCCTACAACGATGAACAGTTTTCCAATTAGTAAGAAAAATATGGATTTCCGTTCTAAGGATCTTTAATTAGCAAAACTTACAATAAATTATATCAAAACATTTAAACAGCTGACCACTCTCAAGAATAAAATTGACGATCTCTTGATCTCCCTCAAGACCAAAATCGTTTATTGAATTTATTTTCGATTTAAGGCAGAATGCAACACAGAAGGTTATGGGAAGTATAAAGCCATAAAAACAGGGATATTTAAAAATGTGAAGTTTCTAATTAAAATCAGAATCACCAATACTCTACTCGCAATTCTGACTCATTTCTAAGTATTCCATCTGACATGGAAATAAATCCATCTCGAAAATAAGTATATCAAGCCATGATTAGACTATAAAACAGCTATTAAATAAACATACAGCTAAGAGAAGTAAATTTTATTGATCTTCTCTTGGAAAAAAGCAACCAATCAAAAAATAGCCACGATACAAAAACAAAAAACAAAAAAGTTAATGATTAAAGAGGAAAACAAATAAGTGGAAAAAAATCTAAAACAAAAGACTACAAACTATTCCATTTATTTTGTTTTCTTTTTTTCTTTCGATGAAGCATTTGCAGACGATGGTGTAACTGTTTGAACGGGTTGCCACTGCAAATTGGTAGATCGAAATTAGAAATAGAAAACTTAAAGTAATCGCTAAAGTAAACAATGGAATATCTAAGAGAACAATTTATGTCGAAAATTTTCATAAATTACGAAAAAATCTGAAGTACAAAAGTTCGGTCATTATATGCTGTGAATATAAATGATAGAAAGATAGCACTTACATGTATTGGATTACGTCTCAAATATGGCCATGGTGGTACAACAAGAATACATGATATAATAAAGCCACAGCATAATGTATAGATGGCGTATGATAGTTGCTCCGTAACATAGCCAATACCATATCCAACCACAGCCGTTAACACTAATATCACCTATAAATGGTAATTTAAAATAAAATTTCATAGAATTTATAGTTGCCAAGGATAAAAATTCAGAGATTTTAGCGATGGAACCTACAATTTATGTATTTGAAAGTTAAACATGATTACAATTATGCAATAATTAAATATATTTTCAAGTAATTCCAATGGAATAATTCCTTTCAATCACATTACTCTCATCACAATCTTTCCACTGTTATGAGGATATGTTATCATAAAAACTTTAATCCGTTTTGATAGCATGAATGGCATCCAATTCTTCAAACCATATCTCATACAAGTACCGAGATAAAAAATTCCACTAGATTTCTCCTGAACTATGAGAAACTATAAAATTCATCTATTAAATAAAATGATTAATGAGCATATTACTTGAAAAATTCGTTCCGCTCTTCGCTGTCCAACAAAATCAATATATGTGGAAAATTTTCTTAACGATGGCGGTAACATTTGTATTAGCCCATCCATTTTTCCACTACCTTAAATTTATATGACCCATTTTTTGCCATATTTGCATACGACATAGTATAAAAATTGAAGACAAAGAAAGAAAACAAATCAAACGTTTTCTCAAACTTCAAAAATCGTTTAATCATAAGAAAGATACAAAATTAAAATCATCACTGTCATCATCATCATCATTAACGGCTGTTAAGTATAGCATTCCAAAAAATACAAAATAATAATAATAAAAGAAAATATTGCAGAAGGAAAAAGGGAGGGAAACGGAGAGAGAGAAAGAGGAAAAGTGTGAAAAACTACAACTGATTCCGTATAATATTTATAAAGATATCTCACATCTAAATACATCTAAGTGGATTTTCAATAATCAAATCCCTAAATTCACTTCCTTTCTTTTATTTTGATATTGAAACGAAGAAAAAAGTTGTTTTTTTTTTTTGAAATGAATGTGCACCAAAGTTTTTTGAAAACTATTCTTGGAGAAAGAAAAAAACACCGTTATTAACTATATAAATAATGAAGATCCAAGTTAAGCGGATCGTCTATTGCTAATAAATTATTGTAAGCAAAATGTCAAATATCATTTTGCTGCGAAAATTTCACCAAACATTGCAATAAAGTTTACGATTACGTAAAATTTTAATAAGAAATTTTAAATTTTCATAAATCTTAATACAAATTCCAACACAATAAAATGATATTTGACGCGAAACGACATATGATATTCTTACGTAAACAAAGTTGCCCCCACGTAAACAAAGTCATACCATTCAAATTTTAACTTCAAGCCTACTTAATTGATCAATCCAAGATATAAACCAAATACGTAATATGTAAACCTTTAAAAGAACACACAGAAGTCCGAAGTTTGACTTTTGTAAAATTCGCACTGTTCCCGTTCATCGTTCGATAATTGTTTGGAGCAATACGCTTACGTGAAACGTGTTCGTACGTCGTTGCTCATTAATTTTTATATTCCATTTATTGTTGTTTTTTATACCTCATTTATTGTTACAATACAATAAAGATTAATTTTTATATATTTCATTTATTCATGTTTGGTTTTGTGCTTCTTTTCTTTCTCTTAAAAATTTAATTGTCTCTAAATTATGAAAAAATTGTAATAAAAAGACTGTACTTCCATACGATCTGCTTTTTTTTTTCTAAAAAAAAACTTATGGTTTAGTTATATTTTTCAAAAGATTAATAGACTAATGTCTGGTAACAATGAAGAAGAAAGTGATTCGGAAGATGACGAAGAATATGTACCATCCGATCCCGACGATAATGAACAGAATGAAAGTGGTGGAAGTATTGGCGGTGATGGTGTCACAGTGAACAGTAATGCAGTGTTAACATTACAAGAATTAAAGTAAGCAGTTATAATTTTAATTAAATTTTGATGTTTTGAGTGATTTCTTGGCTGATAAGTAATGATCTCCGATAATTTGGCTTCTTTTTTTATGGAAATGAAGTTTATAGAGGAATTTACGAATTTAGTGTCATTAATGGAGTAGTCATAAGAAGATATAAGTCATTGTTTGATCTTTTGTTGGAGCTTTGTCTCTTTAATTTCAAAACTTCTTGCATGATAGATGACATATATGATTTTTAATGATTTCACTATGCTTTCTTTCTACATGTCTTTCATCTGCTATTTTCCTTTTTTGCTGTTAACTTTATTACAGCAAATAGGTGTGAAGTTTACTTTCGGAATTTATGCCAAAAGTAAGTCAAATAGCCAAATTTGATTCTTTCGAAGAAGTTTTTTTTAACTTATTATTTGAAGAGAAATGAATAAATCAGAGGAAACGGAAGATGAGCGGGCGCGAAGGTTAAAATTATTGTTTGAAGAATTCATCGGAGGAAACGATGCTATACCAAAACCGTCAACTAATGAAACTTTACCTACGTAAGATTTTTATGTGACTTGGAAACGATTTCTTTATTTTCATATTCCATGTGTTTAAAATTTAGTTCAACTGCTGACAGTGAACGAGTACCGATGAAGATGTGTGAAATTCCGAAATTAGCTGTAGAAACGGTTGACAATGTTTTTGATGGCGTACTGGACAAGGGAAATGTTTCGTAAGTTCCATTTCGAGATTTATAGTTAATCAATTCTTGGTGAATGAAGTAGCTAAACTACTGATTAACTGGAAATGAGTCATATTATTTTGAAAGGTTAGTGCTTTGGTTGATGGGATATTGTGGCACTGGAAGTATACAGTAATTAATGTAAGTCTTTTTATTGTGTCTTATTGATCTGTCAGTTTTCAGATCGCATTCATAGTTTGATCACGGCTCTTATTTTATTTTTTTATTTCAGATTGAAAAATAAACCAGAACTTTGTAAAACGGAGGAGAAGCTGTGCGGACCATTACAATGTGAAAAGTTAGTGCTTACAATGAAATGAGGTAGGCAAGATTTTGAAAAGTTAACGCTGATTATTACCAAACATTTAGGAGAAAAGCTTCGGATGGATTAACAAGCGCAATCAGTGCCTTGTCGAAGAAATCAAAAGTGAGTGTGCTCGAAAAAACAGCGCAAGATTGGAGAGCTTTCAAAAATGAAACAGGAATTCAGGTATCTGCATTATTATTGTTTTTATTTAATACTCTTGGTTGCATTCTAGGCTAATGTTCCAATTGTTATTATTATTATTTTTTTTTTTTTTGAGTGAAATTCGTCTCAGAACGATCAGAATCTTAAAAGGGTATACTGCGTTCATGAAGGAAGGTATGAATTTGAAATTCACTGCAAAAATTAAAAATTACAGGAAGAATTAACCAGTCATAATAGAGGAAAACAGGGTTACGTTGATCGTGTGGAATTTTTATCTCGAACAGATTATCGGCAGTTTGAAATGGAACGTGATGCTCGTAATGCTGCTCGTGAGAAGAAATAATCTGCTCTACCATATATTGGCTTTAGTTTTCTTCACAGGTTTTTGTGATCTCATGAGCGAGGAAAGCAATCAGTCTTCACGATTTCTGTGGCAGCGATGATCCTTTCGAGTTGATCTGTTTAGCTGGTTGCGTCGTAAATGGTCACTCATCAGGAAACCTGGATCATTTCATTGTTTATGGTATAATAAAACGACTCGAAGTTATAAATCAAGAGAGAACGACTTCAGAAACTGTTCTTGATTTTACTGCTAATGAAAACTTCACATAGACTGCATCATTTAGATTTACCTGGCAATTCTATGCTTAGGCCTAACATTAGCCACTAATTTGTGAATATTATGAGGCCAAATATGATTGCTGTCCATCACTGCGTGTCACTTATATTACTCATAAAAATTTAATTCTCAAATCTTTCAAAAAATTTCTTTTATTTTTATTCATTTAAATATGTATCAATAAAGCTGATTTATGCATTGTTCTTTCATTTTATCTCCATTTAGAAATCTTTTTCCTCTTTTTTGAAAGCCTATTAATACTTTTACTTTTTTTCTAAAGCGCATCCGAATGATGTACTATAAATTAATCTACCGAATTTCATATTTATCGGTCATTCCCTTTGCGAGAAATACCTGTCATCGAAATA